GCGCAAACGTGTCGTGGAAATCCACGCCTTCTTGCTGGGTAAAACCCTTGGCCACTATCCGCGCCTTGTACCGCTCAACTGTTCTGTTAGGTCTATACTTAACTTTGAAGACCCATTTGCAGTCGATCACCCTCTTACCAGCCGGCAGGCCCTCCATGGCCCACGTCCCATTCGCTATCAGGGCTCGTATCTCCCTTTCCATGGCATCATGCCAACATTGATGCTTCACAGCTTCAGCAAATGTACGGGGCTCAGCTACCTTTGTGATAGCTGCCAAGTAAGCACAATGCGAAGGGGTGAAACGATGATACGTAACGTGATTGGAGATGGGATAAGTCACAGAGTGAGAAGCATAACCTGGAAGATCGACATGGTATATCCCCAGCTGGGAGTTGACGCGGCGCTGGCGAAGTCCTCGACCAAGAACCGGGGCAGGGGACGCGGTATCTTCCTGGTCATCGGGATCATGGGCGATAGCTGCATGATCAGTCGCATCAGGATTGGGGTGTGTGGGACTCGCATGATCATTCCCATGCAAAGTCTCGTTAGCCTCGTTCCCATGCAATGATCCATTAGAAGCAGATACCTCATGCGAAGGAGACTCCATCCTAGGAGCCAAGGCACTATCCATCAAAGGATTACTCTCAACATTACTAAGAGGCATTTCATATTCTGGGGATACCATAGGCTGTGTACGTGTGTTCATTGGAGCAAGAGGAGGAGGTGATGCATCCTTAAAAGGGAAAACATCCTCAACAAAGTGAACATCACGAGAGGTATAAATCTTGTGACTTTGTTGATCATATACCCGATAGCCTTTTTGCGAAGCCGGATATCCAATAAATACACACGGTCTCCCTCGTTCAGCAAATTTGTCGAGCCCATGGTGTGTGTCTTTCGCATAAACAAGACACCCGAAACTGCGAAGATTTGCATATGAAGGAGACCGATTCAAGAGCACCTCATAGGGCGTCTTATTATGAAAAGCAACCGTAGGCAGCCTGTTGATGAGATATGTAGCCGTCATAACACATTCTCCCCAAAATCGAACAGGAAGACCACTGTGGAAACGTAACGCTCGGGTGGTATCAAGGAGATGACGATGCTTACGTTCCACAACGCCATTTTGCTGCGGAGTGTCGGTGCACGTGGTTTGAAGTACAATGCCACATTCCTCATAAAAATCTCTCAAAGAATGAGTGCCAAACTCCAATCCATTATCGGTTTGAATTCTGCGAACCTGTCCTTGAAATTGAGTAGTAACCATTTGACAAAACATCATGAGGTAACGCTCAACGTCTGACTTGTATTTCAACAAATAGACCCAGGTAGATTGACTATAATCGTCCACAATAGTCAAGAAAAAACGAGAACCATCAAGGGAAGGGGTGCGATAACCACCCCAAATATCCAAGTGTATGAGCTCAAAACAACTCTTCGTCTTAATCGAACTGAGAGGAAAGGGGGTACGAGACTGTTTCGCATGCAAACAAGAGTCACAATGCCGAATAGTATGTATCTTATCCCAACAACTAATCAAATTCTGTAACAAACCGAACTTTTCTGAAGACGGGTGCCCCAATCTAGCATGCCAAAGATCCGAGAAGTCCAAACGCCTGGCTACTGCACTAGCTGTGGTTGAGCGTATCCCATTAGCAGCTGCTCCTCCCACACGGCGCAGGTAATACAATCCTTCTCTCAGCTCACCAATCCCAATCACGATCTTGGAGGGTAAGTCCTGGAGAACGCAGAAATCAGCCAGGAAAGTCAAAGCAACATTATGATCCGTACACAATCGGCTGTCTGATAGAAGATTACACTTGAACTCAGGGACATGCAGTACACGACGAAGTTTAATCTTGTCAGTCAACATAACTGACCCTGTCCCATGTACTGGGACACTTTCCCCGTTCGGAATGCGTACGGGTGCACACGCAGTAGATGAATCTAACTCATCTAGCCAACTACTATCTCTCACAATATGATCATTGCACCCGGAGTCTATTAACCAATCACAAAAGTCAGGAGGATTACCGGCCATATTTGCTTCTGGATTCTCCGACGATGAGGACTTTGATGGTTCCGAGAGCAAGTGCTTCAACTGGGCAAACTGAGCAGCCGTTAGTTCGGGAATGGGACTCACGTCTGGTTGTACACGTGCTGCCCGAGGAGGATTGTCATTTCGCTGTTTGTGGGGGTTGGCGCGGTCACTTTGTCGTGACTTTGGCTGATACGATGGATAACCGTGCAACTTGTAACAAGTTTCCACCGTATGCCTCTGCCTATGACAATGTGAGCATCGCGGCTTATCTCCATGATCACGATTAGCACGTGTTTGATCACTGTTTGCCTGGAAAGCAGCCGCCTCAACCACGGGACGGCGCCCAGCAGTGATGCTATGCTGCTGCTCGTCCGTAGCGACCGCCTGGTATGCATCCGCAAGCGACGGGGTAGGCTTCATGCTCAACAACTGCGTGCGAACAACAGAGAAGTTGTCATCCAACCCCATAAGAAAATCAAAAAGCCGCTCCATCTCTTCCTTTTCTTGACGTCGGCGTGACAAATCGCACGAGCATCCTCCACAAGTACAAAGAGGCTCAGGATTCACCGACCGCATCTCGTCCCACAAGGTTCGGAGTCGGGTGTAAAAAGCGGATATGCTGAGCTTCTCCTGCCGGGCGCTGTTGATCAACCGTCGAAGCTCATAGGATCGCGGCGTAGCTCCCTTGCCAAAACGTTGTTGAAGATCGGTTCAAATCTCTCTCGCCGTCGTGGCCGAACGAACGCTATTGCAGACCTCCTTCGTCATCGCAGTTTTCAGCCAACCTTTAATGGTAGCATCACAACGCCCCCAAGCATCAGTCCTCCCCCTCGTCCCGGCGGTAGAACTAGGTAACGTACCATCAACAAAAACAAGCTTGTTCTTAGCGATATGAACTTCAGTCATGTCATTGACCCACTCACTGTAATTAGAGTCGGTGAAAAGATCGGTCACAAACAATTGGGCGGGATTCTCAGACGGATGAAGAAACAACGGTGAGCTTAATGGGATCACGTCGGCGACGACGCTGGTTGACTCCTCTTTTGGCTCATGGTCCTTCGTCATCTTGAAAACCAAAGAAGCAAACCCTAAAACAAAATTCGCTCTGATACCATGTAAAAACTATCAATATGCGGAAGCAAAGGAAACGTGACGCAGATTTACGTGGTTCTTGTCATCCGGTGTGGATGACCTTACTCCACGGAGAAAGGATTCTCGAGTTCTTATTCCTACGCAGTATGAGGAGCTGTGGGTTCTTTGTTACAGCCGCACACAAGTGTCGGCAGGGAAATAAATATGCCCAGTATCAAGCTCCTAGAGCACGAGGGGCAAAAAGCAATTAGCTCCCTCTAAAAATATAAAGACAATATATGTACATCTCAATACTTTTACTTATATTTTACTTGCATTTCGATTTTGGTTGAGAGCTTCTTACTTTTGCTCTTTCGTTTTGAAATGCAGGTTGTCGAGAACATTGGTAACTACAGGTGCACCTCCCTAAACACATCTCAAGACTTGTTTGGGGATTCTAAAACTAAACATAGATTTCATGGTCGAGTTAAATGGTAATCTATGCTTGTTTGGGGTTTTACTAACCTGAAATTCTGTGTAGTATTTATGGTGAGTTTTGGGTTTGATGATGTGATGGTTTTAATGATCTGAAATTATGGGTTTGAAATAAGGTTTGGTTTGGGTACTATGAAAACTGGAGTTTTTGTGGACTAGTTTGAAGTAGTTTTTATAATCTGGAAATTGTGGTGAGGAAGGATGGTATAACTTTGGGGATTTATGCAAACTACAACTTTTTGGTTGGTTTGGGATAGACTTTATGGATCTGATGGCCCTTTATTATTTTTGTTAAAAGAAAAACGCATGGTGTGTGTATGTTTGGATGATTCTGAACAGAAATTGAGGATTTGAATTTGAATCTGGAAATCTTGCGATATTGTTGTGGCTTACACCTTGTAAGCTTTGTGGTTTATATAATGGTTGTCGAATGGTATGCTTGTGGTTTGTAATGGTTACACCTTGTAAGCTTTGTGGTTTATATAATGCTTGCTGGCTCTTACTTCCCTTACGTTCCTCCTTTTTCTTTGTAGTTTTGTTGCATATTTATATGTGGATTTGATGAGGAAATAATTGGAAAGAGCTTCAGTTCTATGTCTGTGTGTGTTGGTGTATCGGCTACGAGTAGAAGGAAGTATGAGAGGTATGGGTTGTATGCCTGAAGAAAGAAGAAGAGTGGAAAGGGAAGTTTTGTTTCCTTTCTATTTTTGTATTCGGAAGAAGGAAAGAGGAAAGAACAGAGAGTTGCTAGTCTTTGGTAAGGAAAAGGAAGGATAAGGGGAATTCTGTGCGCGAAAGGAAGTCTTGCAGAGTTCCTCTGCTCTATGTTTGTGGATAAGTTAGTGGAGAGGATTCTTTTTAGTTCTAGATCTCTCTGTTTTTCTTTGTAAGAAAGGAAGAGAAAGGAGAGGGGAAGCTCTCTATTTTCTGCAGGTAAGAAGGAAAGCAAAAGGAAAGATTGGAGACCGTCGCCTAGAAGAAAGAAGTCTGAGACGAAGGGGAAGGGAAGAAGAAAGCCGTCGTGGGGGAGGAGAAGTAGTCCAAAGTCCCCCTTTTCAAGAGCCAGAGTGTTTTTTACTATAGCCAATGCTGCTTGCAAGGAAAGTATGCTACAATAATGGGCATTGGTCGGACCAGGTTTGAGCTGCAGGTTGGACCGCGTCAGGTTGACCCAGGATGACTTGGGTTGGTCTGTGTTGACTGGGCTTGAATTTGACTGGCTTGACCAGAGTTGACTTTCGTTGACCGTAGACATGGGCTTTGATTGTGGGTTTTGGGCTTGACTTGAGCCCAATTTTTGTTGAACCTCGTAGTTAAATATGATGTAATCTAGTATGCAATTATTATACAATGCTTTGTAATTATAAATCATAGTTCTAATTAAATTTAATTCGAATTGTTCTAATATATTTGTTGTTTGTTTTTTTGTAATTCAAGTTTCTCTTATTGTCTTGAAATCAGAGCTCAATCCAATCAAAAGCCAAATAGTTTAAGTACACAATTTAACCGTCAACCTAAAGGAAACCTAACTAAGCAAGTGCTTAATATTAGGTTGTCTCAACCGAGATTTGCCGTTGCTAGTCTCAATTGGCTAAGGCAAACGTGATTCATCCCAAACATTACAAATACAATTTAATTAGATAGTTGTCTAAGGTTTGCTATTACCAACCTTTAGCAAAATTAAATTTTATTCAATTAAGTATGTTTTTTAACCCGGACAAAAAGTGGTTTCTACAATAGTGAAAAGTTTGTTTGGTGTTAATCTAGCTTTTAATTTCTGTTTTTGTTAAGTTGTGAAGTGTTTGCTTGTGCTAGACGAGTTGTGTTCTTTGAGTGTGTGTAGGGAGGTGCATGACCCGGAGCAATCCGGCGCCTTTGACACCACTGGACGAGGACATCAATCGCACCCTCTGACTTCTAACTCAAGAGAGGGAGTAAGCGGAGGCAAGAAGGAGAAGTAAAGAAAGGGGACAACAAGTTCATCCCGGAATCGAAGTAATTGAAGAAGAAGTTTTAGTTAAGATGGCGGAAAATCAACACCGAGGGGCTAATCCGCTCAAATCCAAATGGAGAAGCGGAAGCCGAGGAAAGACCAAGGACTATGGGCTATTACATGGCTACACGGGCGGCAGATATCCAATCTCCCATCTTACATCCACCCATGGCCGCCAACAATTTTGAGATCAAGCCCTCTCTCGTGACGATGATTCAACAAAATGCTTACTTCCACGGGCTATCCCATGAATCACCACGAGAGCATGTCCAAAGGTTTCTTGAGCTAGCGGGAAGCATGAAGATTAATGGCGTCCATGAGAAGGCATTGAGATTGAAGCTATTCCCCTATTCTTTGGCGGGGAAGGCACTCCGATGGCTCAACAACCGTCCGGTTCTATACATCACATCTTGGGACGATCTCCTCAACAAGTTCATGACCCGATATTGTCCTCCTTCCAATACGGCCGAGTGGAGAAAGAAGATCACTCACTTGGGGGAAGAGGAGGATGAGACATTGAGGGATGCATGGGAAAGGTTCTCCGACTACTTCCTTCAATGCCCTCACCATGGATTCGAGGAGCAATTTCGGATAGAAATTTTCTATGGAGGACTCATTCAAGATGACAAGATCCTCATTGACTCTCTATTCCAAGGGAGGTTGATGAACATGACCCCTCCTCAAGTCACCGAATTGCTTGAAGATATGGCTCTTAAGGGATATGATTGAGGCTTGACAAGAAGTAGGAAGAGAAGCAACGATCGAGGAGTAAGAAGTGTGGGAGCGAGTACTCCACTTGAAGCGAAGCTGACACGTTGATCGAGGTGATCCTTGAGGACAAGAAGCAAAGGAAGAGAGCGGTGATGTCTTGTGATTGGTGTTCGAGCACCAATCACAAAATTGCGGATTGCCAAGCGATGAAGGAGTCGAGTACCCCTGAGGAGCAAGTGAGTTTCATTGCCAATGCTAGAGGGAACAACCCTTATAGCAACACATACAACCCCGGGTGGCGCAATCAACCAAACTTTGCTTTGTCTTCCCCTACCAATCCAAGACCTCCTGGTTTCCAAGGTCCAACAGGAAACTATCAACCTTGGCCAACATTCATCCCACAAAGGCCTCAATTCCAAAACTCGAACTTCCAACAACCATACCAAGCACAAGGTGTCTCGTCCCGAACATCACAACAAATTCCCACCTAAGGCCCAAGTATAAACCTTAGATGGGTGCAATATAGGGCAAGTATGTTTAATATCAACCCGGGCTGGTCCATGTACCCCCACTTCCATTGTTTGAAACATTATCCAGCGGATTGGTTTTTGGTTGAAAACTATGAGGTTTAAATCAAAGCAAAGCAAAGGTAAATGGTTTGAAATATCTAGATGAGAAGGATCACTCGGGTGTTGCTTCCCCCTAACTACTACTACCATAGCACGTGGACTCGAATGGGAAGTTATGGGCAAGCAATCGTGAACCGCTAGGAGGTGCAACTATGGTTGAAGACCACAATCTCAATTACCAAACCAAGGGATACATTATAGGCTACTAGAGTAGCCCTCTTGGTTAAGGCAATTGAGGGTTGACATACCTTCTCCCTCGAACCGATGGTTGGACGGCTTAATCACGATTAACCTAGTCGTTTAATTCAAGATAGAGGTTTTCCCTACATTAACCTAGGTAGGTGGCTTGAAAAGCCCAAGGAATCCCAACTCAATTGAGCCTCTTTTGGAAAGGGGGGGGGGGTTCCCCTCTAACCTAGGATAGAATGGGCAATTAGATTGCTAAGCACACACATGCACGATCATCATGAAAATACCTCAATCATTAAATTAAACAACACCCATAAACAATCATTCAAGTCACACAACAACTACATGGCAAATAGTTAGGGTTTCACAAAACCCAAGTGAACAAGATTACTACTCTATGCTAGAAAGGGGATGAACACAAAAGAAAGAAGTAGAAACCATCATGGAGATGCCTCCACTCTCCTTTGATCTTGTGTTGACCTTCTCTTGAGGAGATTCTTCCCAATTCACCACTTGGAGCAAACCCTAGTCTCCTTTCTTCCTTGGTTCGTCCTTTCTCTCTCTAAAATATGAAGAAGAAGGTGCTTTCTCACACTTGGGCCCCCCTCTCTCTTCCTTTTAGCTCACGTTTTATAGTAGGATCGGGCTCAGTTCATGGCCTTGAACTCTTCAACGCGTCTTTGAACTTGGAGTGTTGTGTCAAAACGCACCGCTTCACTCACATGAGTTCACGATTTGCAATCAAAGTTCACGGTCTTGTTGATCATGAACTAGCCTTGCGCCAGTAACTTCAAAATTCGACCTGGACGCTTTGCGGTTCACGGACATAGGAGACGGTGAACTCCAATGGGAAATCATGAACCTGGCTTGAATCACCCTCTTTGCCCGGTCTTTGCCTCTTTTCGTACAACTTTCGACTCCGGTGCTGGTTTCACCTGTTAGATCCTGAAACACACTAAAACGCACAAAACCTAGCGTAAAACCACCATTTTAGGAGTTCAAATGCTACAAATGCCCAAGGGAAACAAGGATAAAATGTGTGCAATTAAGCCCGGATCACTCCCCTACACTTAGACGTTTGCTTGTCCCCAAGCAAATCATTTCACACAAGGTAATATCTCAACCTATCAAAATGCTTTGGGGAAAAATCAAAGGGCACAAAGTGGCGAATCTCAAATGACTATTGACAATTAACACAAGGACCGTTGCAAGCAATACCGGCATCCACCACAAATGACATTCGAGGCTACTAGAAACGGGCAAATGAAAATTTCTCACCTTGTTCATGAATCAATGCAAGTTTCAACAAGATCACTTACCAACCACAACTAACCATGCATAGAGTTCAAGTCCAAGGAACAAACGGATGGGCAACAAAGGTCCTCACCGGGGTATGATATGACATGCAAAAAATGTGCACAATCATCAACACTCGACCCTATCGTCTAAACACCACGGCGGCAACCTCTAAAAGCTAGAGTTCACGGAATGGTTGTCATTACTAGCTTGTCTGGAGGTCTTAGACATGGGTTCAAATGATTGGCGATTGTCTTGGACGTGGGGAAAAGGCTTTTTGGGTGGTGGAAAACACATCATGAGGTCCTACATCTTCACCCTAAAACCGAAGTCTATGGTTTTGACTAAGAACCTTCCTTAGAAACAATGGCCACTAGCATCAGCCAAAAACCTTGCTTCTCCCTTCCAAACTATCACCCATCATGAACTTCCCTTAAGCGCTCTTCCTCGGTCTACTCTTGCTATCACATTTCAATTTGGTAGTGAAGGAGTTCTAAGACAATGTGGAGGTTTCAATGGCTTGTGTGCCAAGAAACCTCACCTAGATCACACTCTTTGATTCCTTGTGGCACTCTCTACTTTATTTACCCTGTTTTATTACCTCTTTTTTCGTTTCTCTTTCTTTTTCTTTTCTTTTTGAGGGGGGGTACTAGAGAGTTAAACATTTGCCACACTACTTTTAACGATCAATGCTCTCTTTTTAAGAACTCACTCCAACACTACTCTTCCTTTCACTTCCGTTCCTAGCAAGAACCACACACAATCCTCCTATGTGGAACCTCAATGGAACTCAAAAGTGAGAGCTGCGGGACACAAGGACGACCCACATATAGACGCGAAGCACAAAGCTCACAAAGCACAAAGCTCCTAACATGAGAACGACCCCCAAAGTCACAAGGCTCAAAGGGGTTGACTAGTGGATAAATCATTTCGGAACAATCAACATTTCAGCAATGACTAATCCTATGCCTCCATCATAATCAATAGTGACAACTTTGATGTTACTCGCCATGGTAAGAGGGATCTAAGCACGCAAGAAGAAAAAGATCGACTCAAAACTCACATGGCTACCTAGTCACCCAACCATCTATTCCATTTCACAAAGCAACAAGCATGAAAATTGTAATCAACAAGTAATCGAGTCAAAACATCCATTCATTTTTGCACACATGAGAACTAAACCTTTGCACTATCCTAATGCACCTCTCAGTCATCATCATAGGACATACTCAATCACATGCAACAATTCAAGGTCAATGCCAATAACCACAAGATTCTCCTACAAACCGGCCACTTTGATCATGAAAACATTGCTTGGAGCCCTCAAATTTTCCAAATTTGGGCATATATTGAGGCTCCAAGCATCAATAACACTCACACAAGCATAAAAATAGACTATCCCCCACACTTAAACTCGACATTGACCTCAATGGCGTAAGATAGGGGTAGAACAACGTTAGCGCTTTGCTTGGTGAGTGAAAGTTGGAATTGTTTCCGGGTTAGGAGATTTGGAGCTTCAAGGCGAAGACAAAAACACACATACACAAACACAATACGACTCGCTCAAGGCGAGGTTATTACACAACACTATACGATAGTAGTAGTAGTTTATAATCACACACAAATAAACGAAAGAAAAATAAAACAAAAGTGTTCAGAGTTCCAAGTGGAGTAGTGAGGCGAAGGAATCGGCTCTTCCATATATTTCCTTCATCGGCTACCTTAGTGGATCTAGCCATCTGCTCGAGGAGGTCGGTCTGCCGGTCGAGGCGGGAAGTCACTCCCCCAAACTGAGTTTCGAGGGCGCTGGAGCGCGGGACGCCGGTGGCGGCCGGGTGCTCGAGCAGGTGGCTGCTCTAGGGGTGGAACCCCTGGAGGTAGACTCAATCCCTCAATGTACCGAAATGGTCCAAAGGTGCGCAATAAGAGCATGGAGTGCAAGGTACCCTCATCAAACCTCGAGGTGCGCCCCTCCCTAGTGCACCCCGTAAGGCTGACATTGAAGTGTCGAGCAACGCGGATGATGTAGGGACCCATCGATGTGACATAACGATGTTTTCCCCCCATGGCCTTGGCAAAAGAAGTGGCCACAACTGAGCCCAAGTGCAGATTGCCTTTATGCAAGAACAAGCCAGTAAGATCCTCTCGGTTATCTTGTTTGGGTTGTGGTAAGTCAGGTAGGGGGAACAAGTCAGGAGTGCGATGATGACACGCCACAGGGGATGGAGTGTAGATGCCACTATGAGGGCTGACCTAAACTTTGTCCTTCGGTGCTCTGGAAGGCAGAACTTCCGAAATGCGGCATTCATGTCGCAACTTCGGATGGCGTCTTCCTCCCATTCTTCCTCATGTTTGGCTTCAACTCCTAAGGCTCTGGCTAACCCGTCGTAGCTCAATATGCAACATTCCCCTCCCAATAGGAACTTGACCTAGAGCACTTGATGGCCGAGGAGGGTTTGGGTCTTGAAGAGGGTGAAGGTACTGAAAAACTCGATGCACAGTTCCCCATAAATGTCATCTTCGAGATCAAGGAGTTGGCGGCTTTGTGGGTGTACCACTACCTCCCTGATAACATCACCACAATGAAGCCTATCCAAATGTGCGAAGTCGAGATTCCAATGGTCACCGGCGTTTATAGTTGCCCAAAAATGCATATCTTTTTCCATTTCGGGGTGGACTCTTTGTGCCAAAAGGTATGGGTGGCTCATGTTTACCATCCTTATAAATTTTGCAAACAAACACCATCATGGAAACATTCGTTATGCACAACTCATTGGGAGGAAAAAGAAATTCCCCCCACACTTATCTCCACTAGGGATTTCAAACATTTAAACTCAACACACCGTGGCATGGTTGTGGGTATTTCACGGTTCATCAACACAAAAGATTTGGACCCCAACCCATGCCACGGTGGCTATCAACCACCATTCATTCAAAAATTAGCACTTGGTGGGCAAAATCTACAAATGCAAGCAATTCGAATCAACAAATGCCCACCAAGGGTCACTAGGATCATGCAAAGTCAATAATCTTAATTCACCTTATTCCTCGCCCAAATTCTAAGTTCAACATTCAAGGAATTAAAAATTATCCTCACTTCACTACCTAATATGATTCTCCCAAAAAAATAAGGTAGAGCTGAAAAACCAACATGGAGTGTAACACCCTGATATTTGGGTTCAGGTTTGACCAAAAGAAATAAACGGTTAGATGGACAATTACGTACGAGTGGGTGCAACCGTGAATTATTATTATTATTATCGCCATAATTATCATTGGGCCATAATTATTATCATCATCTCCATCATTCACACCACGTTACCACCAAAAAGGAAGAAAGAAAAAAAATCAAAACCCTAACCACTTTACGTTACCCCATTTCCCTCTCTCCATCGGTCTCTTTATTTCACTTCGGTTACTTTCTCTTCCTTTCATTTTAATTGCCCACGTAACTGAGAGAAGCAGTAGGAATCCTATTGCCCTCTCCCAATTATTTCCCCAACTCAGTGCCTCCTTACCATGAGCAGAACCAGCAGTCGTGTCGTCCATCATCTCCCGTTGCTTCCATCCTCGCCAACGCCATAGCCAGCAGGGACGGAGCCAACGTTGGGGAAGGGGGGGCCATGGCCCCCCCTAAAATTTAAAGAATTAATAGACAATTAGGCATGTGTAAATCTGTACAAGGAAAATCTCGTGGCATAGTGGTGATGGTGTTGATTCTATAATTCAAAGGAAGAAAAGGGTCAGTGGTTCGATTCCCTATTAACTATATTTTTTGTGTTGATTTTTTGTGTTAATCAATTCACTTGGACATCAGGACAGCTCCACCACGTGACAACTGACAAATAAAATTTTAATAAATAACTCCCATGTGAGACTATGCCCTTTTAACTTAAGTTTTTTATTTTTGTATGGATCCTAGACTAAAGCAAAAAATCCCAGCCCCACCCACACCAGACAAAATCGATTCCTCTTCCCCAATTGAAACCCTTATGCTTCTTTCTTTAGTTGGCGGTACACTGCTGGCTGGCGGCTGCTGCAGAACAAAAATTGCAGCCCTAAACCAAATAGAAACGACCCCTTTTCCAATCCAAAGTTTTGATCTTTCTCCTTTCACTGCTTTATCTCCGACAGGCGGCGACTCTGCCTGAGGATCGGACTGCTGGCTTCTATTGTTGCTCCCGATTTCTGCAACGACCCGTCACCGGCGACTCTCCCTTTTCTCTGGTAGGCAGCAACTTTTCTTGCGAACCCATGTAAGTATGTGTTTTATTTGTATTTCTTTAACCATTAACTATTAAGATCAGTAAGAACACAAATATTTATTTTATTAAAGAAAATTGATGTTGTGTGATATTGTGATTGATATTTGATAATTAAAATTGAGTTATTGTTATTGACAATTTGTTTGATAGCGTAGATATCTAACTTGCATTGTGAATGTTTTCAGCTTCATCCATTCTGGAAAAATGAAGAACAAACAGAAAAGGGTTACTTCATATTTTCAAAGAAGTGTGTTAACAAAAAGGGATGTTGATCTAGAAGGAGTACATGGTGCTTTGAACTCTACAGTTGAGGAGGAGTCTCCTATTATTATTGAGAATCAGAATGTGAATGAGGAGTCTCCTATCAATTTGAGAGTTGGCAATTCATCATCTGATTCTCTAGAACGAGATCCTGGATTACGTCAACCAATATGGACATATCCAGTTAATAGGCGTGATGAGATAAGAAGGGATTATTGGAGTGCTGGCCCTTATCAAGTTGTACTTCCTAAGTTTCCTAAATCTGGGCCTCCAGGACATCTTCGACCCTTTCAAAGTTCATGGTTCTCTGAATTCTCTTGGCTTGAATATTCAGAAGCACAGGATGCTGCATATTGTCTTCCATGCTATCTTTTTACAGAAAAGCCAAATGCTCAATTTGGCAGAGACACATTTGCAAACGAGGGCTTCCAGAATTGGAAAAAGGTAAAGAGTGGGGCAGATTGTTCTTTCAGGAAACATATTGGAGATAGTCCAAATTCTCATCACAACAATGCTGTGAGGAACTGTCATGCTTTAATGAATCAACCGGGGCACATTGACAAAGCCATGAAGAAACAAAGTTCTGAAGAAATAAAGAAGAATATTACTCGAGTGAAAACCTCAATAGATGATGTCCGTTATTTGGCATTGCAAGGGGTTGCTTTTAGAGGTCGGGATGAGACTGCTGATTCAAAGAATCCAGGGAACTTTATTCAGTTGCTCAAGTACACACGTTTTTATAGTGAAGAAGTAAATAGTGTGGTGTTGGAGAATGCTCCAAAGAATGCAAAGTACACATCTCATGAGGTTCAAAAGCAAATCTTGCATGTTTTAGCCAAGAAAATCAGGAAGCAAATTTTTGAAGACATTGGAGATTCTAAATTTTCAATCATTGTGGATGAAGCAAGTGATGAAAGCAGACATGAACAAATGGCCATCATTCTTCGTTTTGTTGATGTTAAAGGACTTATTCAAGAGCGCTTCCTCAATCTGGTACATGTCAAAGACACAACATCAAAGACTTTGCACTCTGCTATTTGCTCAACTCTTGCTTCTCATAAGTTTTCCCTTCAGAATCTTCGTGGACAAGGATATGATGGTGCTAGTAACATGCGTGGTGAATGGAAGGGATTGCATGCACTGTTTTTGAAGGATTTTCCCCAGGCGTATTATGTGCATTGTATGGCTCATCGTCTTCAACTATCTTTGGTTGCAGCATCTAGAGAAGTGGATAGGGTAAATGAGTTTTTCACAAAGTTACCGAGAGTTGTGACTGCTATTACTGGTTCCACGAGGCGCCTTGATGAGTTAGAAGAGTTTCAAGAAGATGATTATGCACAAAAGCTAGCATCAGGTGAAATTGAGTCAGGAAAAGGTGCCAATCAGATTCGGAATGTACAAAGAGCCTGTGATACTCGATGGAGTTCACATTTGAGTTCTGTGGCTAGCCTTATCCATTTGTATGGTCCAAGTTGTCGTGTTTTGGAGAACATAAGTAATGATTGTGCTCACTACAAAACAAGGGGGGATGCTAGTACAGCTTTGAGAACTATGGAATCATTCGAGTTCATCTTCATTTTGCATATGATGAAGGATATACTAAGCACCACAGATTTGCTTTGCAAAGCTTTGCAACGTAAGTCTCAAGACATTGTAAATGCAATGAGGGCAGTGGAGACTACTACAAAGTTGCTGAACCAAATGAGGAATGAAGATTGGGATTCTTTGTTGGCAAAAGTCACAATGTTTTGTCAAAAACATGATATCAATGTTCCTGATCTTAGTGCTCCACATTACGAAAGTCGACGAAGACAAGATGGTATCACAAATGAGCACTTTTATCATTTTGATGTGTTCAATGCTGCTATTGATGTTCAGATAGAAGAAATACGAGCAAGGTTCGATGACAAAGTACTTGAACTCCTGAAGCTTAGCTCGAGTTTGGATCCTCGGGATGGTTATAAAGCTTTCAACATTGGTGCTATTTGTGATCTTGCTGAGAAGTACTACCCTCTTGATTTCTCAGAAAAGGACTTAGATGACTTGAAGTTCGAATTGAAGCATTTTCATGCTGATGCTCCTACTCATCCTAAACTCCAAAATCTATCATCACTTGCTGAGTTGTGTCATGGTTTAGCAGTGACAGGAAAGTCCAAGGAATTTAACCTTGTTGATAGGTTGATTCGTCTTATTTTGACTCTTCCGGTTTCAACTGCCACAGGAGAACGCGCATTTTCAGCTATGAAGATAGTGAAGAACAGGCTGCGGAACAAGATGAATGATGATTTTCTAGCTGATAATTTAGTTATCTTTATTGAGCGAGAGATTGCAGAAACTTTCAGTTTAGACGCTATTTTGAGTGATTTCAGTGATCTTAAAGAACGTCGTGCACTGTTAAAATACAATTAATAATTTATTTTATTTTTGTTTATTATCTTTTATTTCTGGCCCCCCCTATTTTCAAATGCTGGCTCCGTCCCTGATAGCCAGCCCGACAGACGCCAAACTTCGATCAATTCCCGGCCACTCGACGAAGGCGTCTGGCCAGAGCCGTCCCATGATATTTGGAGGCCCTGTTCGAAAATTTAACATGTGGCCCCTAATTTCTTTCTCAATAAATTTATTAAAAATAAAATTTATTAAATAATTATAAAGTATATAAGTTCAGAAAATGATTTCAAAATGAATAAACAATCTCACTTCCTGGTTTCTCACTCCTAGCATGGAGGGAGAAAAGTAAATCTGGAGGGAACAGAAAATGGATATAGAGCAAAAATTGAATGGAGAAATGAAAATAATATATATTGATCGAGAGGTGGGTGCGGGTCTATCTAATGGATCGTGTAGGCCCTATTCTAAAATTGAGACATTATCCAAATTGACTTGTAACTATAATAAAACTAAAATGATTATAATACCATTATTCAAAATGTAATATCTTTCTTTATTATTTAAGTTAAAATTATCTATTATCTCTCTGATTTTCGTATTCTCCATGAGATCCTTTTCAATTGTTATTATAGCTAAAATTATTTATTAAATTCGTCATCATATTCATAATCTATCAATCATACACTAAAAAAACAACCTGCAATATTCGATCGGTAACTAACGAATCTGAGTGGAGGCCCCTAATATTCAGAGGCCCTGTGCCGGAGGGCGGGCCGGCACACCCTCTTGGCCGGCCCTGCGTCTGGCCATCCCTCTTCCCGTCGACCAAGCTCGACCGCCAATCTCCCTCCCATCTCGTTCCTCCGCCCGACAGGAGTAGCGGCCGCTCAACGGGAACAGCAGCGGAGACGGAAGCAAAGCGCGATGGGAAGAAAGTAGCGGCACGACGTCATCCGCCATAAGAAAGAGGGGTAAATAAATGATTATGGTCATTGGGTGTTTCTCGAGAGAAGGTAAGGAATCGTTCCTCGGAGTTAGAATCAAATTTCGGGGTAGTTAGAGGTCTCATCGGACCTTCGCCGGGACTTCCTCGTAACTCGCCAGAAAAACCAGAAAACTCAAGTACAAGTATTTTTCGATTGGAGGGTACCAATACAAAGAAGACGAACCCAGGATTGTCACCGTGTCGATGAAATCGGATTCTGACGTCGGACGAGGGAGAAACAAGCATCTAAGGGTTGGATTAAAAACTGTCAAGTTCAGGTACCATTATGGACAATTCGGAAAGTTGGTGGATTATTTCGGAAATTTTACAGAGGGGTTGTGGTCAACTTTGTTGACTGGAAAATTTTCAATTTCGGTACCTGGTACTTTTAAACTGACATAATGTTTATTTTGGTCATAACTCGATCAATTGAAGTCCAAACAAGGAACCGTCGGTGCCTATGGAATCGTGAGCACAAGGAGAATTTAATAGGATTGATTCATGGAATTTAAGAGCAGAATCAGAGTTGGTTTCGACGATTTCGAGGTGAGTGTAAAGGGGGTAAATTCTACGCCTTACGTGTTCTTTCAAGAGTTACAAGTTTTGAGTATTTTGATGAAGTGAATGTCGTTGTTTGATTGTGCTTATGATTGATGATATGTGATTTAGTTTGAGCTATGCTTGATGAGGATTTGCATGAATTTTATTTAAATTTAAGCTTTAAGTTAATAAGCTATCGTTGAAGTTAAGAAGCAAGTTCTTTTTAAGAAGTAACTCACCTTCAAGAAGGTGAAGTCATTTTAAGTGTTTTTAGTCACTAGCGCCAGTCCGTTGCCTTTTGAGACAGTTTGAGATAGAGCAGCAGTTATGCTCTTGAGATTTTTAAGATGGGCAATAGTTATGCCCTTGAGAATCGTGGTGAAGAGCCACCACGATAAGTTTAAGATGTTAGGGGGATGAATTGTTACGACTTCCCTAACTAAGTTTAAGTTTAAGGAAAGCCTTGAGGGCTTCTCATACGTATGAGTTGGGAAACCAGACTAGCTAGTGAGGGATCCCCGTGTCAGTCAAGTATTTAAGTCAAGATTTGAGCTTTAAAAGAGGAGAGTAACTTCAACTCCCTCAAAGTTTAAGAGTTAAGATTTTAAGATTGGAAGTACTAACAACTTCCACTAGTCAAAGTTAAGTGTTTAAGTAAAGTACTCAAGTATTAGAGTTATTAAAACGTAAGGGCGTAGACTGACCCCCATCTCACTCACCAGGACTTAGTAAAGGAATAAGCGAGAACTAGATCAATAGTTGCAGCTAGAGGAGCAGTTAATGAGCAGCGAGATCAAGAAAGTTGTTCGAGGCAAGCCAGCTAGAGGAGGATAGTACAAGCGTCACTAGTGGTGACTGGAGATTCAGATTAAGATTCTATGGTTGAGGTTTGCCCAAGTGTTAGGGCTTTGTTTTAAGAGATTTCAGTTCACTTCAGTATTTGTTATGGTTATTTATGGAAAGCTTCCTTTTTTTCAAGTCTTTCGTTTCTTATTTTGGTTTATGAGTCATCAAGGGCATTTTGGTAAAATTAGTACCCGTCGTAGCTCAATATGCGACATTCCCCTCCCAACAGGAACTTGACCTAGCACACTTGATGGTCGAGGAGGGTTTGGGTCTTGAAGAGGGTGAAGGTACTGAAAAACTTGATGCACAGTTCCCCGTAAATATCATCTTCGAGATCAAGGAGTTGGCGGCTTTGTGGGTGTACCACTACCTCCCTGATAACATCACCACAATGAAGCCTATCAAAATGTGTGAAGTCGAGATTTCAATGGTCACCGACGTTTTTAGTTGCCCAAAAATGCATATCTTTTTCCATTTAGGGGCGGGCTCTTAGTGCCAAAAGGTATGGGTGGCTCATGTTTACCATCCTGATAAATTTTGCAAACAAACACCATCATGGAAACATTCGTTATGCACAACTCATTGGGAGGAAAAAGAAATTCCCCCCACACTTATCTCCACTATGGATTTCAAACATTTAAACTCGACACACCGTGGCATGGTTGTGGGTATTTCACGGTTCATCAACACAAAAGATTTGAACCCCAACCCATGCCACGGTGGTTACCAATCACCATTCATGCATAACAATGCACATTCATTCAAAAATTATCATGCATAACAATGCACATTCATTCAAAAATTAGCACTTGGTGGGCAAAATCTACAAATGCAAGCAATTCGAATCAATAAATGCCCACCAAGGCTCACTAGGATCATGCAAAGTCAATAATCTTAATTCACCTTATTCCTCGCCCAAATTCTAAGTTCAACATTCAAGGCATTAAAAATTATCCTCACTTCACTACCTAATCTGATTCTCCCAAAATAAATAAGGTAGAGCTGAAAAACAAACCTGGAGACTCAAGTAGGACGTAGGAGGAAGTGAGGTGCGGGCGAGGGAGGCGAAAAACGGCTAAAAAACAGATCAGAGAGTGGTCGCCGGAGCTTCATTAGAAGCTCGTGGGAGACTCGCCACCGGCTACTTTGCCGGAGTAAACTTGGCCCAATTCTCCCCAATATTTCAGCACATACAGGTTTTGATTAGGGGAGAATGGGTATGCAGTTGGTTTGGGTTTTGCTCACCAGAAATGGGTTAAAAATTGAAAAACCGTAGGATTTGCGCAATTTTCCGGCAAGAATGTGAATTTTCCGGCGAACTCTGGGTTGTGAAGTGAAGGGTCAACGTTCATGCCCCTTTTATAGACAATGTTGGCAGTTCACGGACGCGTTTGCCAGTTCACGATCATTAAGACTGTGAACATAGCAATGCGGCCGTGAACTCTGGCTGGTCGACAACTGCAAGCTCGTGGAAGCGCCCTGTTCTCGCCTCTTGGATGCGTTTGCTTGTTCATGGTCTTGTAAGACCGTTAACTGGCCAATCCGTCTGTGAACCTCAGCTAAAACATGGTACTTCTGAAATTTTTTTGACTCAACCTAATCCGCCGCGCCTTCTATCTATCACGACACAACCTCAAAACATAAAACCACAAAACGTGGCACGGGGATACCACTCGATAACTAGAAATCTTCACTCAACACACAAAAACGAAAATAAGGAAAAGAAAACAAACCTACGTTGTGTTGCCTCCCAACAAGCGCTAAGTTAACGTCATTAGCTTGACATTGTGGATCTATCATGCTTTGGAACATGATGCCACCGAGAGTGAATCTGCCACGTTTTCGGGGCGAGGCATGTAGCCTCCCAACTTAAGCTCCATGGGATGGCCTTCTTGGCCGACGACCTTAGTTTTGCCCTTCTCCTTCCTTTAGGCCAAAGCTTGCGTCATCCTTTCCCCCCCGAGATTTCTTCTTCCTTTCTTTGGGCATGGTACCCTCCTTAACTTCCTGCTTAACATCGTCACAAGCAACATAAGTAATAGTGGGGTTCGCCTTGAGAGGCTCTCCTCCACTTACGTTCTATGTGATGGTTACCAATACTAAGAGGGATAGTGAAGCTACATGGATTGGGTCGCTTCTTGGGCAACCGGTTGAGGATGAAGGCTGAGCATTCCTCGCCTAGAGTAACATTGGCGAGGTCTTCGAACTTTGGTTTCTTGGTGAGGAATCCTTTGAGGTACTTTGTGTACCTTGGCATGTGAGCCATAGCTTCAAGGAAGGGGATGTTGAGGTGGAGATTTCGAAGAATCTCCGTGAAGCCTCCACATTCTTCTTCCAACCTATCCTTGTACACCCTCGTGGGGAAAGGAAGAGGTGGCTTGTACTCAGCCACCAGAGATGGCGTCGGCGATGCTTTCTTTGCCACTTCTTTCTCTCGCACCGAGGGTTCTTCATCTCCATCCTTGGGGAGTCTTCCTTCTCAATCCCTTCCTTAGCAACAACTCCCGGAGTCACCTTCCCACTCCTCAAGTAAATCGAATTGCACCTGGCTTGATCTTTTTGGTTGGCAATGGTTTGAGAGGGTAGGGATCCCTTTGGTCTCTTGGTGTGGATCCCGACAAGATTGCCGATTTTCACCTCCAAATTT